CTATTTTTCTTTTGCCAATGAGTAAATTGAAACAAGCAATTATAATTTTCCCTGTGCAAATTTTTGATTCACTAAAATTCATCTAGTTTTGTAAATATTAATCGTAACTACTTTAGTTTAAACAATAATTACTTTTTTCTAACAGTGATTAAAATAGAACAAGCAATTATAACTTTTTTCATACAATTTTTTTATTAACTAGGAGAATTTTAGTAATTTCACTGAAAATCATTAATGTTAGAAAGATCTTTAAGGATTTGAAAGAGTCATTTACATGTTTTAGAATTTTCTTATCATTTTTCCAAAGAAAAATTATAATCATAATAATTGAAATGCCAACCAGCTCCTCCGTCCTTGACATCGGAGTCTTTGTTTTGGATTAAATGACAAAATTAAGTGGGTGCTACGATAATAATATAAGTGAGGGTCCCCTCCCATTGTCTTTTGGTTAAGCAATTACAGCTATACTCACGATACTTTTTTAAGCCAATCCATCTTTCCGAACCATTGAACGAGCCACTGAAGAATAAAGTTTAAGATTTTCAATCCCGTGCTTGAAAAAGAAAACTTGCAAATTATATGAGAATGACAATAGGGTCATCAAAAACGAATTGAAGAAAAGCACTCAAGTATGAGATAGACAAATTATAAGTATTTGAGCTGTCATTTTGATCATTATATAATAAAAACCATGTATACAAAAAGGAAAGCAAGCGCTTAAAACTTCTTATCTTTTTTCCTATAGGAGAGAATATACTTAGTATACAATTATTTCTTGGAAACAAAACTACCCTTGTTGTACTCGAAAATGCAACACGGACGCACGAGAGCGGAGGTTTCGACCTTCGAAAGGAAGATCAAAAAAATGAGAATCGCTACAAGATTTTGAGAAAAATCTCGAGAAACTGCTTAATAGTAGATAAGAATGGTCTATGAAATCAGAGAATAGGTTCGGGAGTCGGTTGAGTGTAGGGAAGGTGTTAGGCACCCCACAACACCCGTTCGTAAAAACGGTTACTAAAGTTTGTTGTGCTATATTAATATGGTTTTAAAATTATTTTAATTATCCCTTTTATATTCATGTGTTTGATATAAAAATAATAAGAATTAAGCAAGAAATATTTATTTATTTACGAGGAGAACTTGACTCAGAATCTGACTCTGAGACCTACGTACCCTGCGGTGGGGATCAAAGTCACATAGTTCAGGCTAAGAAAATTGTCAATGATTTTCTTTATTTAGAATTTTCATAAAAATAGGAATAACTTATCAATTGCAAACAAAACAATTTTTATAAACTGTGAGTTGGTATGATTTATTATGCAAAGATAATTTCCTTATTCCCATTTATATATTTTTTTAAAGCTATTTTTTTATTTTGAAAATTCACCTTATCAACATAGAAAAGTATTATTGTTATATATAAATATATTTTTAAAAAAATTTTAATATGTCTACGAAGATTTATTATCACTCGTGTACGCTTAAATAATTTAAATGACCTTAATGCTTTTTAAAATTTTGTATTGTGTTACCATATAAAATCTTAGATTATTTATAAAACATTTTTGTTTTAATATATGTTCTTTTATACATTTATTTGATATGCCAATCAAAGCTCTTATCACTCACAGAGTATGATAAAAACTCATAATCACCATAATAATAGAGTCTTATTAACTCACGATAAAAAGATTATCTTAGCAATTTATAGAGATTAAGGAATCTCATAAGGCCAAAAGATTTTGAGGTCATTATATAAATATATTAATTTAACTTATTTTATTTTAAAAAATGTTTATTATTTTATTTTATTTACAAAAAAGTTATATATAAATTAATAATCACATTATTTGTGAGAATATATTATGATAATGCAATTATTTTAAAGCTCTTTGAAAATTTCTTGAACTTTCACACAAAAACAAAGTTAGATATTTTATCGATTTAATTAAAAAAATGATGATAAATTAGTAAAACTAATTATCATGGAACATCCTTAGAATTCATATCATTATATATACAAGTTAGATCTATCTGCCTATAAAACCTTATTGATTTTCGTGATAGATGATCATTTTAAACGCTTATGCGGATTTCTTAAAAATAATCTCACATGGCCTGAATAAAAAAAAATAGGATTAATATTATAATCCAACCATACTCAGAACAATTACCATGAAATTATCAAATTCTCATGACCAATCAACAAATTCTCAAGACTAATAAGTGAGCATGATTTAAAATAAAATAATAAAAAGAAACAATATGATTTGAACCCGTAACCGTACTCTCATATACTCGTCTAACACATACAAATGCAGAGATAATTTCAAACATTCGTCCACCACCTATATATATTGAGCCAAGCCAAGATCATTCATCCAACACATACATGTATTTGAGCTAAACCGGATCACTCATTCAACACATACGTATATTGAGCTAACCTAGATTATTCATTCAACACATACGTATATTGAGCTAACCTAGATTATTCATTCAACACATACATATATTGAGCTAATCCAGATTCCCTACAAACTGACCGAAAAAAGGAAACATACAAAAAAATCCAATCTAATTATCAACTCCAGGTTCCCTGCCAACTGACCGAAAAAAGGAAGCATACAGAAAAAACCAATCTAATTCTCAACTCCAGATTTCCAATACCGAATCATAATCAGGAAGAACAAAAGGCAAATATTCAAACAGGTAATATAAGCTAATCGATCAAAGTCAGAGTAATTTGGTTCATGAATTTTGAACCTATTGGAGTAAACTGAGAATTTTAAATCTTTCTCATTTTCAGAGACTTAAATTGCTACCAAAATCAGTCGCGAATTCCCTTGGTTCTTCTTGGTTCCTTCCCCAGAAAAATATTCAGAGGCTCCGGACTCTTCTTGCCTGATTCCTCTCCAAAACAAGTTCGGCCAGCTCCTCCTCCCAGAACTCCTCTCAACACTTTTGGTTTGGATTCGGTCTCTCTCTTTCTTTTCAGAAATTCGGCCAGCCCAACCCCCAGAAATCCTCTCAACCCTTTTGGTTTGAACTCTCAGTCTCTCTTTTTTTTAGAACTTCAGCTCAGTTCCCGGCCTCATCCTCTCGGTTTCTCTCTTTTCTTGGTTTTTTTCCAGAAATCACTTCTCTGATTTTGGTTTTTTTCCCCTCTTTTTCTCTCTTCGGGTTCCAAGCTTTAAATAGAGAGCAAACGATTTCTTACCGTTACATGTTTCCATTTCAGACCGCCATCTCTATTCTGCTCTTTCTGATCGCGTCCATCTCCTTCTTTTGCCTTTTTCCCTTTTCTTCCGCTGCGTCGCCATGTGTGTGCATTGCCGTCTCCTCTCTGTTCTTCTAATTTCTCTATTTTTGGATCCCGTCACTGTTCATCTGCATTTTCTGCTCACGCCTCTAGTTTTCTTCGCCTCGAGTTCTCTTCCTCGGGTGTGTTCTCCTTCTTCCTTCCTCTATTCTGCATTTTCGCCCAGATTTCCGCCGCCACTCTGATCTTCTTTGTTTCTTTTTTTTTTTTTTTTGTTTATCTCTTCTGTCTCCCTCTCTCTGCGTGCATCCGTGTTTTCGGCTGCCTTATCTGTGATGACTGAACCTATGGGTTAAGTTTTTACCTATCGGTTTATGTCATCTTTTAACATATATTATTTTTTAAAAAAAAAAAACAAAGCTCCTTAGACTGCCTCATTTGATGCTAAAGGGGGAGGAGTGAAACGCTGCAATGGGCCGCATTTCATTCTCCCCATTTACCCAAAAATGCTTCTTTCTCCCTTTTTTTTTTATATTATATATATATATATATATATTTAATTTAATTAATTTCTTTTAGTGAACTAAAAAAAATAAAAAACCTAATCAAAAGATTAAATTCTAAAAAAAAAAATTTTTATGTTTCAAAAATATAATCTCAAGAAAGATTAAAATTTATTTTTGTATATTTTTTATGGTCGTTTATTATTAAAAAAATGTCTGAATAAAATACAATGTTCACACCTTTGATAAAAAATACTTATGAGCAATCCACAAAAAACTTCCTGTTAGTTAGTAAGCAATCTAAAGAATGGAAGGCCAAAGCCAATACAAAAAACAGGAGACTAAGTACTGGAAGTATTATGTTATGCTCCTTAGCTATGTCCGCATTTAAGAGGTTATTACACTGCCGAGGGAAGATCACGGATAAGAAATTCTTCACCCATATATGGTGAGCCTTATATATAAGCTGTCCAATGGATGCAACAGTTCGTCTCACTAAAATGTGCTTGTGAGTTGTAACTAACCAACCACCCTAAATTAAAGCAACGACGTCACTAACTTTCATTGATGGTATTTTTTAAAGTATGTTTGCTGACTTATTTGGAGATCAGATCAGTCAAAGCTTTAACAGAGTCACTACACAAATCAAAATGTTTTTTTACGTCGATCTCCTTGATTCCCTACATAACTTTGAGCCATTCGGAATATCCAACCTTCGTTGCTGTAACTATCCACATCTAGCTAAATCCACCCAGTTGTGGAGGACCACTTAGACTGTATATCCCTTTGGTAACACTCAAGTGTTTTTGTTTTTTTTTTTTTAAATAATTTCGAGCTTGAGATAGTCTACCAAATAAAACTTTTTGAGTGCCACGAAGGACAAAGTCCTTGTAAAAATTCTCCTCTCAGAAATAGATCTTGTTTACATATCGATCAACCTGAAGACATATACAACCTCTTTGAAAAACGAGAAAATAATTTTGGCAAAGAAGAAAGATTACTTCATGACGGGAACATACAAACAAAGAACGAAAACAAGATATACCGGGTACTGTAAACTGGCACCAAAGGTCCCTGGACGTTCATAATTTTAAAACAACAAAGAATCTAAACATTATGGCGGATTAATTAACACGGCGAGCTAGGACAACCATATATTTACCATTATATTGGATTATTTTTTGAAATTCGTATATATAAATACAGTGATGTTTTTACCAGTCTTGAGATGATCAAAGGAGCTCGATCCTGTCATAGAAATCATCATACAAATTAAGAATGCATCTACGGCACGTACTTCATAGTAATTTGTTGATCATTGTACTTGGCTCCGATAAGAGGAGGCATCATGACCTCAGCCTGATCTCTAATACAATTCCCGCAGGATAAGAGAATCTTCGGACCAGATAGCTGGGGGTTCAAGGCATTCAGCTCCGGCCACAGTCCACGGCAGCGAGCGATGAAAATCATGAACACCGTAATTCATATCAAGTAAGAGATCAGGGAGGTCGAAGAATGGGTCATCCTCACTGGTCGACCCTTCGGGTTGGGGTTGCGATTGACGATGATGATGGGTGAGAGCAGCGGCTTTGGCGGCTGCGGCTTGGATGTCCTTCGGGGAGCCGGTGGCCGGACGTGGAAGCTATGGGGCCAATTCAGGGAAATTGAGGAAAGCAGAGGAGCCTTTGATAGTAAGAGCCGCAACGTCATGAGCTCGAGCCGCCATCTCCGGCGTAGAGAAAGTGCCGAGCCAGATTCTGGATTTCTTCTTGGGCTCTCTGATCTCAGACACCCATCTTCCCCATTGACGAATGCGAACTCCACGGTAGCGTTGGCCTGCGTCGTAATCATAAGAGAATCGTCGCTCTCGCTTCGCCCTTTTCTGGTTGTCTCCGGAACCTTCTACAGTGTTCTTCTGTGCATTGGGTTCTGTGGAGGATGGGGCGGTTGAAGTGGATGGCATGGCTTGAATGTGCAGAAGGACAGCTTCTTCTTCCATGGGGAAGAAGGGACGGGGAAATGATGAATTTCTTATTATTGTATTGTATAGTTAGTTTCATACGGCAGCTTCTTATAATTCTCCCACAATTAAGATATGGGTCCATGGGAGACCCAGCAACAGTTGCTCTTTTTAATAGACACTTTTTGCCTGGAGTTTTTCTCCGCTTTTTATTGTTCATGGATAATATGATTTGATACAAAATTTATTTTACATACTATATAAAATATAAAATATATATAAAATTGACAGCGAGACAGTGTCAAGAGTAAGAGTTGTTCTCTTAGACTCTCTGCGGAGCTCACCTAATTAATAGCAAATGGTGATGTATAATGTATTTTTTAGTTTAAAGATATAATAAACTCACCATTTAGCAATTTCATAACTAAATTGGAGTACATGTGTTTATTGGTTTTTCTAAATTAAAAACAACCCATCAATAATAATGAGTGCATGTATAATTTTTTTTAAAAAAATATTTCATTTAATTTCATTTATAAGTCACATATATATTTATTAATAACGTGCTTTTTTTTGTTTTTTCTAATAATATATGTTTAATGGAGGTAATTGAAAAAATGTAATAAAGATTGAATGACATATTTTATAAATAGAATAAAAAATTATTATATCTATTTTATAAATAGGATAAAGGGCAGTATTTGTTATATCTGTACATGAATGGTAATATCTATACATCACTTTGTAAGTGCGTACTCGGTTTGTTTGGTTTTTTGTTGGGTAAAAATTAATTTATTAAAAATTTATTTAATAAAAATCAGTTGTTGTAATGAAATTTATATTTAAATATTTTTTTAAAAGTCAATTTGAATAAATAAGTGTTGTTTTTAGAGTGTAAGTTTCAAAAGTAAAAAATTTTAATTTGACTCAAAGCACATTCAACCATATTTAAAAATGACTTTTCAAAAGAATTTTTTGAAAAAAATTGAAAATCAAATAATATTTATTTTCAAAATCCATTGCAAATTTTTTTTTGAAGATCCTAACTGAAAACCAAACCAATCCTAAATGACTCATTTTAATCGCTTTCCATTCTCTAGAGAAAAAGGTTCAGTTGAAGGGGAACAAGGTGCCTTGAATTACAACGAATTAGGAAACTGTGTGCGATTGATAATTGATTGAAGACAGATTCATTAATGCAGCATCACTTGAATAATTCAGTGCAACTTAAGACATACGGGGACTTCAGTTAAATATCTTCATATAGACTTAATTTTTGATGGGTTTAAAAAAAATTAAAATTTTAATTCAGTTAGAAAAAATAGAAAAAATTTTGTTAATGAAAAGGTTAAAATATCCTTCACTTGTTATATAGAATCACTAGTTGTTAATTTTTGTACTTCACTTGTCAATTTATAAATATAAGTTATAAATTACATGAGTTGATATGTCAATAATTATATAAGATTTAATATCAATTTTTTAATTATAAGCAGCAACATCAATTATTCAATTGTAAATTTTACTTATTAATTTATTAACATTAGTTATAAATTATTGATAGATCTTGTAATTTACAAAAATTAATTATAAATTACTGACAGGTCTTGTAATTTATAATTGATGCTAATAAATTAATAAGTAAAATTAGTAAAATAACAACTAATATTACTAATTGTCTAGTAAATGGATGTGATTTACAAGTGATATTAGTAAATTAATAAGTGATATTAATAAGGGTATTTTAATCTTTTCACCGACAAAATTTTTTTGACTTTTCTCTCTTAAATTGAACTAAAATTTTTTTAAACTTACCTGAAATTAAATTTCTACAGAAGTACTTCACCACTCCCTCCCTCCATCCGATATTTATTACAAGTCATTCTTAACAATCTCTAATGAGAGGTGGTCAAGTCATTTTTTTATAAAAATAAAATAAATTTCTAATTTTATTCTTATTTAAATAATTTTTTTAAAAAATTGTATTACATTCTTTTTCATAATTAATGTATTTAAATAAGTGTAATATTAAAAAAATAATTAATATTCTATTAAATACTGTGTAGTAAGGACAATTTTTTTAAAAGGCAATTTATAATAAAGACTAAAGAAAATAGTATATCATATGGTAGTTATCATATTTATGTTTTCTAGGATGCGGTTGCGATGGTACAAAACTGGACACACACACACCCACACCGAGAGAGATACTATGGGATCCTTAATCATTAATTTGGATAGGAATAATCAGATACAATTAGAAAAAAAAAAACTCTTAAAAATAGTAAAAAAATTATTATCTTTGAATTTTTTTCTCCTAATTGTGCTTCATGCTCCTTTCTTTTTTCTTTTCTTGTTTTTTTTTTTTTTTCAATTCTCTCTCAATCCAACCTAAACTTAAAAGTGTGTTTGGTTGGAATGTTTTAGGGGAGGGAAGCAAAAAATAGGAACGAATAAGGTTCTCGTTTGGTTTAAAAACTCCTATCCCTCCCCCTCCAAATTGAGGTTCTTTTTAGGAGAGGAAGGAGAAAAAAATTGTACTTGACTAAATTGTCCTGGTTATTTTAAAAATCTTAACCTGTTTATAATATTAGAAATTATGTCTCTTTTCCCTTTTCTCTTGTAATAAAATAAGTCTTAGGAAGAATTACATTTGAAAAACCATTTAAGCAAATTATTCATAGACAATAAAATTAAAAAGATAATTTATTTTTGTATAAAATTTAAATATTTTTTTCATTAGAATCCAAGGAAAAACAACTCTTTAAAAATAAAACTAATGAAAATACAAAAAGAAATTATTCACTGAGAATATAAACCAAGACACTGCCATCAATCACCGACAATCAACAGTGTAGTGAAAGCATGTTTCCATTTCCAAATACACCAAATTGCAATATATTTCCACTAATTCTATTTATAAGTTTTAGTTATATGATAGAGAGAGAATTTTTTTTTTACTCTTATTTATAAATTATCTCATTAAATTTTTAACACAAATTTTTCCTTAATGTTAGAAAAAAATATTATTAAAATATATATATTTAATATGTGTAAATTTAAAAACTTATTAATTTTTAATATAAAATTAATGAGTTCCAATATTTTTTTAATTTCGATAAAATATATTAAAAGTGATTTATAAATAAAATAAAAAAAATACAAGCATACTCGTTAGCAAATTTATGTCTCTGTGTACTGCAATATAAGAAAAATATAATTTCCATCCATAATGAATTAACTGCCACTCTTGGATCAGAATAGCATAGGCCAACTTCTGATATGTTATAGTCTACAGAATACAGCCCAGTTCAAATTTCTTCATTAAAGTCTAGCATTGCGGAGTTGTTGCTTTAGCATTGGTCGAACATATTCCTGATAACCATCTGGCACAACTGAATCATTCAGAGGATCCTTCCAAGCCTCCTCGTACAGCGTCGGATACACATTTCCATCGTAACGACCCAGAGCCGAACCAAGGTAGTGATCGGTGTAGTTAAAAGCATCCACAAGTGCAACTGCATTGGGGCGAACCTTAAAGACATAATATAATCAAGTTTTAGAAGTCACATAATCAAATTCTAGGCGTTATAGAATGTGCCATCTGTGAAGAAGTAAAACAGGCTGAGATCATTGAGGACGAACCTGGGAATATAAGGACCTCAGCTGCTCGTTGCCAAGTGAACCCTGTTTGGCAGTGATGCAGCCAGTGGAGAGAAAATCGCCCAGATTCTTATGAACAAGAAACAAAGCATATATGCTACAGAGAATTTGTAATTGCTGTTTCACTCCCTTTCCAGGTATATCTTGCTGCAACTTCTCCAAAAATCTAAAATCAAGGGGTTGGTCGAATTACATGTTAGATATTCAAGGATACCTAGGATGCAACTCAAATCTCCTAAATTACCAATTCAATAATATGTAGACAGCGTACTAAACTCCTACAGACATTACAGAGTAACTAACTTGGAAACGACAATCAACTGGCAATGAGCAACTGCTGCCTCAACTAAATCAGCTGACAGTTGTTGAAAACCTGCATGTCCGGAGAACTCTCAGCATTAGTCATTATAATGTTTAATCGCGTTCTTTTGATCACAGAAATTACATATACATGCATGTATCTTCCCCAACAAAAAATTTTTTGTGCTCAGAGGCAATAATGAAGCATATACCTTCTTCTGGATTGGTAAACTTGCTAAGAGCTTGAGCGCAGGCAACAGCCATCCTAGCAGCTCTAGCTTCAAATGCTTCCAGCACTACATTAGGCTTTAACCAATCCTCAGCTGTCATCAAGCAGAAGTAAGAACAAAATTTCTCGCAGTAACTGATGCAATCTCAGTCGATCAAATTTTAATACAGAATTGTACCTTTTTGAACATCAGAACGGCATTGCATCAGATGTTCCACTCGACCCATATAAGCAGTGGTACCGACAGGCTTTTTCCCGGAGCCCAGCTGAGAGACAGTCTTCATGAGATGTCTCGCGACCTGCATGAGATTTTCTACAAGAACGTCAACATTGACTGGCCAACCTTCAGTGAAACTAATCCAATAACACCAAAATCAGACTGCACTGGTGTGAATGATGATCACAGGAATGAGAAGGGACATATGAGAAGTCATAGAATGAAGATAAAATAATTACATGTTCCAATGCTTTAGTGACTTTTGAACGTTGTAGAATACTATAGTTATGACGTATCCCACAAAAACCAAAAAGACACACCATGATAGTACAATATGAATTAACAAACCTGTAAAAGCAGCACTACATTGTCTCCTTCATAAGTGCAGGTAGGAACATATACAGCAAATAACTCAGGAAGGCCACTGCTGCAAAGGTAACCATGGCCACCACATAGTTTTCGGCATTCTTCAATCCCATCCTGCAAAGGGGAATTGGGTTTTACTTTATTTGAACAAGAGTGAATTCAACAAAGCTGCAAAGTTATACACTACCCAAGAAACACTACACGAGAAAAAAGTATAAAGATAATACCAGAAAGGAATGGACTATAAAATGAAGGAAAGATTAG